TATTACGGACGCGTAATATGTTTCGTCGTTCTTGAAATATGTCAGCAACACAGAATTTGTATTTAAGATTAGACCGCTAATATAAAAAAATACACCTAATTGCCAATGTTCCTTTGAGCATCGGGCATGGACCAGATCATCGTTTTTATGGGCTGAGCCAATCGTACTTTGTCTTTGTTCGAAAACATTATTCCAAACTCCAAGCTCGTGGACTTAGCCCCTTTTCCTTTTTTCGCCTTTCGCCCTTTAGTGCGCGCCAGTTTTCCCTGTACGTTTGGGTACGTAGTAGCAGCATTGCTCCTCTTCCTTACGTCTTTCGCGCTTGGAGCGTCGTCTTCTTTAATGCTACGAAATGTGACAATGACTATATTTTCATCTTCTTCAGCAATGGTCACGCAAAAACGAGCTAATTTCAGTAGTTTATTGCAGAATGAGCCATGTTGAAGCACCAACAAATATACGACATTGTAGCTGAAGCTGCATCTTTAAAAAAAAACGACATAATGAAGGGTAAAGAACACGTTGCAATCGTCGTGAGTTGCGTCTGTTCACTCGATCGTGAAAAACTTTATAAATCACTACAGGCCACACTGCGCGTCAAAGTCAGAGGGTACACGTAAAAATGCAATACCGACACAGAAAAACGCACAACTTGAGGAGATCAATTGAAGAAATATCTAGACACCCTAACAAGGCATTTCAGTTCAAAGGCGTCCTTCGCGACTACAGACTGCGAAAGATCTACGCAAGAGGGCGTGGTTGTGTGGTATAGACACATAGTTTATATACAGTCCATGTTAGCTTACGAAACACAGGGAGTAATGATGTAGTGACCATCTAATTATTGCTTTACAGAGGAATAGATTGCGGGGTTAACAGATAAGAACACCAAATTGCGAATCGCGAAGCAAGAATCGGGTCTTAATCTTTCAATAACCATGGGCATTATAAGAGCACTAATGTAAGATGTGGAAACACTAGGCCCACCAATCAAAAACAACCATATTCTGGGTATAAAAAAAATCATTCGTTGTTGGCGATTTTTTTATTATCGACGTCTACAAGACAAGGCTTCCACCAGTTTTCCAATTTACTGAAGGCCAGTTTCTGCACTGTCCGTTTAAATGAGCAATGTAATTTTTGTTACAAAGACCCTCGTGCAGTTTTCATGCCGGAACTTCGGACTATGGGTTAGTTGTACGCGCTATGACTTCATTCGGATAACATGATTAATTTGATAAAAAAAACTTCAATATGGAAATGATCCCGATAGCGTTTCGACTCAACTTAGAACTGGACTAGACTTCTTGAACTCAATAAAGGTATATGCTGGAAAAACGTGAACTTAATACGTCGATTGTGTGCGCTTTAGGAGAAACATTACATAGAGGTAGCACTAGCAAGCGGTCCTGGAGTTTCACTGCTACTGAGTCTAGCGCTAGGAAGAAAGGAAATTGCTTGTTCCGAAAAGACAAGTCGTTTAGAGCTTTAAGACGTTTACATTGAGCCAGCTTGTAATTAGATGACACGGCTTTTTACATGCATGCTTCAGGTGCGACGTTTTAAATTGTGCTTTCTAGCCAGTCTTCCTTCAATAAATTACATAGTATATATTAAACATTCATTCAATGCTATTTCTGTGCATGAATAACACCAAGAATACACAAGCACTCACCCTCTTTATTGTGCGCTCAATGATTCTGTGTATTTTTTTTTAACAAAGCGGTGAATAAAACTGGTTATCTACGATAATTTAAGAGCATACTACGTCTGTGATTTTCAGTAACATTTTTTTTTTAATTTTGGGCATTATTTCAAGCTCAAAACGAAACGCTAAATGCGAAAAATTAAAAGCTGTAATTGCACAAAGAAAATATGAAGCGGAGGTATTCCTCATCTCACACTCTGAGTGGAAAAAGTTGACACCGCAGGGAAATTGACCGTTGCGTGACACATATGCGCAACATTTTGTGCAATTCAATCAAAAGATTTGCTTACGGCAGAAATTTGTTGCATTCAATGAGTACACTATTCAGAGATCACTTTACCTTTTGCAGCATGTCTCTAAATCTACCGCTCGGCATTTTCGGCTTACGGAACATAGCAGTTTCTCCCGAATCATTGTTTCTCTATAGGAAGTGCTAAGCAAACAAGTGGAATGTCCAAAAACACTTATTTACTACATATCTGTTTATGAGAATAAAGGGTAATATATTTGGTAGTTAAAGAAGGACATCCAATAAGATAAATCTTTATCACTGATTTAACGCATTCACTACACACAGAGTAGATTGCTGGGCTAGTTGGTTTCGGATCTTCAAATACTATTTAGCGCTCTAAAGACAAGGGCACGAAGACGAGAATCAGACACCACAGTGCGCACTGTGGTGTCTGATTCTCGTCTTTGTGTCGTTGTCTTTTGAGTGCTAAAATGAATTCCAAGTCACTACATGCGTTTAGAACGTGGTACCCTACTAGTGTTCCTCAAATATGCTGCTTCATTGAAACCATTGTGATTTGAATTTTGTTTTAAATTTAGTAAATGTTTATCTTGGAGTCATACTGAGCGAGCAGCACCTAATACGAACAACTACCATGAACGGTAGCTTCAGGGATTTGATGACCACCGTAACAAGGAAATGAAAGAAAATGCGTTAAAAATATAGAATAATTTGGTTTTCATTTGAGGTAGGCAGACCGATGTTCAATCTGAACTGAACACATGAGGGCCCAATGAGTGTATAATTTGAAATTGAGCTTGTACTAGTAATACAAGATGAGCGAACCCAATTATAATAATATTATAACAACAACACTTCTGCAGGTCGGGTTCGTTGCTCGAGCAACGAACCCGACCTGCAGAAGTGTTTTAAGTTGGGCGAGTTGGTATGATGTCATGATGAACAGAACGGCGCACAAAACGACGAGGACAAAGAAAAGGAACCTGCAGAACACACAGGCCGAGTGTGTTGCGCATGTTCCTTTACTCTTACCTCGTCTTTTTTTGCGCTGTTTTCTTCACCAGGTCGCCGACCTGCAGAGGTGCATTGCTGTGTACCTCTGCAGGTCGGACTGTTTTTTCGAGAAGCTATATCATTTTATTTAGTAAAGCCCATCGCACAACATATGACGCCTTGAATGCTAATTTTTTCTGCTTGTCACATACCGATTTTTAACCAAACTATTTTAGGAGAGACGTGATTTTCTGGATGTGCCCTGAAGCTCACAGTGACTGTGCCTCCAAGGCTTCTTCGTAAGTCTCTGATATTAGGAATGAATCCGAAAATGAGGAGCGGTCGACAGACCTTAAGAATACACAATTATAAAGGGAACACTAATACTCGTGCGTCACGAGCCCCAAAGTAGCCCACACACAAAATGCAATTCAGCCTCTCATAACAAAAAAAAAAAAAAAAATCTGCTGCGTTTTTACGGCGCTTGCAAGTAAGGAAACAACTTACAAGCTATACCGAAAAAAAAAAGTGCTCACAGCCAAGCGAGGCCTACACGGAACGGCGCCTGACGACAAAGAGATTCCAGACACGCCCGGCACACCTCTGCAAACTACGAGTGTCTAAAAAGGCAGAGCGAGAGTGCCGGCACACTGTCGGTCCCGCTTTCATCGTTTCCTGCGTCGGCAATTTTACGCAGTTTATTCGCCGTAACCACTTCACACGGTGCGGCCACCGTCCAGGATACTATGGTAGATTTTTTTAGCTGTATCAAGGTAACAGATTGAGTGAGTTGTTAAAAACTGTAGATTATGGTGATTGTTAACAAGCTTGTGTTTGTGTTTATAACCTCATTATTTCACGTTGCTGATTTTTTTTCCCTTTTGCCTAAAAGTTCCAGTTACACCTTTGACAGCGTCCTGTCGTGTTTGCCGCCTCTCTTCGTCTCCGTTTACGGAGCCGTTGATTGCCATCCTTTCTTGCTTATTGGGAATGAGTTAAAACCATCTTTCACCGAGCATCCCAGTTTAAAACTAAGCAAATGGGAAAAACAACAATTGGTTTGGTGTGCGTGTGTGCGTGTGTGCGTGTGTGTGTGTTTTTTTGCTTTTTACTTAGCACTTCGCTGACGTAGCCAAACTCTGATTGAGCATCGACTGGGATTTGTGAACAATAACTGAAAAAAGTTCCAGCCGAAAGGTAACAAACATTGACGTCGAATCTGTGCACTCCACTGATCTTGATACATGGATGGCGTAAATAATTCACTTCCCCGCATAGTATTTTAGAAACTTAAGTGTACGCCATAAATTAGATCGACATAAAATACCGAAAACGACAGAGTGCGCCCCTGCAAAACAAAAATGTAAGATATATTAGGATGGACCAAACAGGCCCAAGTGCCTACGAAAGCAAACTACAAAGAGTCCATATAACACCTGCAATCGTAAAGAAGTCTTACATGAGCGGTAAAGTGAGGGCTGCGTGTTTATGCTAATGAAGCATGCCGTCATATCAATCAATCTGATGCGCATAAAGAAAGGAATCGGGAGAGAGGACTTTCGAAATAATGAATCCAGTCACACTACAAAGACTTACACATAACTGACGATTACCTCAAAAAAGCCGGAGAGTTGCTTTCTTAGAAAAGCAGCATGTGTAAAAGCGTGATTGATACGGTACTTAGTAAACTAGCACTGACAGCTTTGCGAAGCGAACTATAAGTTGTGTTCTTTGAAGGCAACAAAACGTTGTGGCTCATGCATATATTTATATATGTTTGAATGTATGAATATAATAGAGTAATTATGTATATATCGCATCTTCCGCATTATTTATATGTAAGGTAGCTGAAGCGGCGAGGTCGAGGCTCCTGCGCGTTGTTAACGACGCCGAACGTGTTTGTATAGCAGAGTCTGAGAAAATTACGCAGCGAGATCAAGAAGAGACAACGCTAGATTTAAGGGAAAACTACTAGGTCTAGGAGGTTTCCTGTACAAGGCCATCCGATACAGTTTGTATCACCGTGCTCGCTTTTCCAGACAACAATTTGAATTGTTAACCTTTTATTCAGTTTATGAGTAATGTAAAGAGGAGGAAGCGTATAATTTGTCGCGTCAAAACTCAATATTGTCCTTCTTTTCCTGCCCCTCTCTACGAAAAATTCCGCCAGAAGGTTTTTATATAGGTACCAGTAACTAAACTATCCTACAACGGAAGCACAAGTAAGCCATACGTCGAAAATGTCGGAATCACTTTGATATATCACACATTATAAATAGAAGCCTGGAGAAATTCATTTCGAAATTCCGGACCAAATGCTGTCATGTGCTCACAACGTTTTATTTTATTTCATTGATTTAAGTACCCGCAGTAGTATTAAGTTTATTTACAGAATTGAAAGACTCTGCAATGAAAGATTCTGAATTCATTTCAAGCAAGTGACTGAAAGCTGACTGTTATTAAAGTTTAAAAGACGAACAATGTAGCTCAGGAATATCACATTGTCCTTGTGTCGGTTCGTTCTTTAAAAAAAAAAAACACCTTATTATCAGCTCATAGGCGTAACGTGAAGTATGCACATTTTAGTACGTTCCCATATCGAAAATTCAGATAGGTATGCGACCCGCCAGTCATTCCATTCATCTACAGAGCAAATGTTACAACCATTAAATACGTCTTAAACCCGTTTCAGGGAGACCGAGCGAGAGAGCACATGGACCGACAGCACGGGACCCGATGCATAGGCACATCAACGTCACTACTAGGGATGGCGTGAGTTCTTGTGTACCCTGAGGTTCCACTGGGCCGGCGACCTATCGAACGTCTAGCAATGTTCGTCGAGGATCGACTTAAGAACAGTGTTCCCCGACTTTTAAGTTTAATTTTCAAATTTTTGTAAACGAATGATTTATAAAATAGGATATTTTATAGATTATAAACTTTTTACTTGTGTTTACATAAAATAATAACACACATTTGTATTTGTAATGTATTAATCGCTTTGATAGCTTGAAAAGAAAAATAATACTTGCTCTAAATATTATTTTTCTCATCCGCCAAGCAGTTTCCGCTCGCTTCTAATTTCCCCAAATGCGCACATCAATTCACCTTAAGTCAAAATTTTGTCGAGCTTTGAGTTAGGAGGTCAACAAAGTCAAACCTGGTTAAACTCGAACCTTGACAGGTTAGCGACATCCCTAGTCTTTACTCAAACCGAAACGAAACAGGAAGGTTCGGACATCCGCTGCCGTACGGATGTATCTTTCGCGAGCGGCAGCGGCCGGAGAAGCGAGGCACGACATCGCTGCGGCGGCCACCCCCGCTCGTTCCGGGATCGACGACGTCCGGTTTCGTCCACGCACGCGGCTGCGATCGTGGAGTGAGAGACGAAGTCCTCGCGAGCAGCGGCAACGGCAGTCGCCTGGACGTGGGTGCTCCGAAAGGTCCGAGAGCGGGCCGCTGCTGTGGCCTCGCTACCGAGCCCCTTCGGGGTGCCGGTCATTCCGAGGAAGCGGTCGAGAAGCTTCGCAGGCTGCGTGGCTGGTCGGGCATGGAGACGGCGTTGAGCAGTGCCCTGCGGATCCACGGGTCCGTCTTGAAGCCCTCGCAGAACTCTTCGCGACTGATTCGGGCGTCGGAGTCCTGCAGGGAGCGAATAATCCGGAATGGAGAATTAGAAAAAATATTGAGAACACTTCCATATTATAGGAGATATTTATATGACATCAGCATGAATCGTAGTCAGCTAATCTCCGCTCCACCCGTGAGCAACAGTCTTGACGGTATCAAAGGAATATATTCGCGAATGAGAGAAAAAAATACGGCGAAAATTCCGTTTCAAACTGAAAGGCTTAAGGGGCGAACTTGTGCGAAACAAAATAAAGAAGGAGTGGCGAGACAGCAAAAAAGCAGACGGCGATTTGGTTGGCGTAACAGTAAGCGAAAGGGAGACTGATTCGACGAGGTCACACGCAGCTCCTTATCTAGCATGAGTTGGCATCTCGGAAATTTGGCCCAGAAGGTTCGAGCATCGAGCGTTCCGGTTGACAATGAACAGGCACTTTCGATAACAAAAAAGTAGGACGAAATGATAAAATTTACGTCCCAAGCAAGAACAAACAAGAATCTTCTAGAAGTCCTTGACCGAGCGTTGCCTGCTCGGCCTTGCGCGCGGCAATATGGCGCGCGTTCGCTCTCAGCACGCGTTTGACTACAGAGCACACAGCTGTGACCGCCAGTTCGCCGCACATACGCAGCGCCACTCCTCCACCTGGCGAAGCGCCCCCATACTAGTTAGCCGTACGTGGAGCAGACGAACGCTGGAGGCTTGTGCACTTGTCGTGTCTAATGCCCCTAAATAAAAAAGCTAGCGACATCTTGTCCCTCTCCCTCTGACGTGCACACCTTTTATCTTTATGTTTTGCTTGCTTACACCCGTGCGTCGACTCTAGCGCCGCCTGGTTTGGCCCAGAATAGCAGACGTCCTTCCTCTACTTCAGTCAGAGCGCAATCAAAGGCTGAAATACGCTCAAATACATACACACTGGCTAAAAGCCCACTGTCACGGTCCACCATCCTCGAAGGATGTACTCAAAGAAAGATGGTGAAAGCCGTGACGTTGCACAGTCGGAGTTATTTGATTGGCGACATGAGCTCATAGCATGCGCTGCACACCGACGGCATAGGCATTCTTTATCCCTCCTCCTCTGAGGCGCGCACCTTTCATCTTTATGTTTTTTTTCTTACACCCTGACATCGACGGTAGCACCGCCTGGTTTGGCTCAAGATAGCAGGCGGTCATCTTCAAAGGATGCCGCTATTTTTTTCCGTATAAAAGGGCTTTAGTCATGCTTGCCTGGCGCTTCATAAAGTCAGGTATACCGAAGACAAAAGGGCATGGCTCCAGGTCTTGTTGTCGGGTGGAATACCGCAGGATCGTAATAAAGAGAAAGAAAATATGTGCATCCTTAAATGTTTTATTCGTTTCCTGGAACGTGATTTCAGAAGAATGAATTAGGACTGGGCGGAAGATGGGGTTAATGTTTAACTGTTTTGTCGCATGATTCAGTACTACAAGAATGGTTAGGTATCGCGTAATGGGGACTTTTCGTAGATTACACGCAAGAGCATGATAGAGATTTGGGTTAATTGGTGGAGCTCGTGCTGTCACCTTGAGGGCAGACTGAGCTCGCGCGCGCAGGGACGCATTCCGGAGCTGAGGATATACAAGAGGACCGTAACGTAAAAGGAACTTACTTTTCTTTACACTGAACATAAGCCATTGGCAGCTATTTTTTTACCAGTGAAACGAATCCCTGTGACGACTGCCCATAAACTTCAACAGCGTTCCTTTATCCTGCAAGGGTACTCGAACAAAATAAACTCAAGGCCAACATCTCAATTTGGAAACGCGGATGGTTTGTCACGACTACTTCAAGGACCTGACTCCGAGTTTTATGCTGAAATAAAACATGGAGTGGCCGATCTTCTGAGCTTGATTTCTTCAGACATCTCGCGATCGTTGAGGAAAATATGACCAAACGTTCAGTAAGGACATCAGACATCGCTGCAGAAACAACCAAGGACGAAACACTGTTGAAGGTTTACCGCAACGTAATAAAAGGATAGCCGGCGGTTGAGCGAAACACCGAAATAAGACCATAACCTTCCAGGCAATCAGAACTCACGGCGACAAACGGCAGTCTAGCTTGGGGTATGCTCAAAGTGATTTCTTGGGAGTTCCGACAGAGTCCGTTGGACTTAATTCATGAAGGATATGAAGAAAAATCGAGGATGAAGATGTTTGCCGGTTCGTATGTCTGGTGCTCGAACATGGGCAAGGATATTAAGGTGAAGAACCAAGCATGCGAAGCATGTCCTTCCTTCTTCGATCGGAACGAGACAGTTGCCCTACATAAGTGCGAAGTTCCATAATGACCTTACAGTCAAATCAGCACCTATTTAGCAGAGTACCAGAAGACCATGAATTGGGGGGTAATTGTTTTTATCAGCAATTGGCCTTAAGTCACACTTACGACGTCAACGCGAGCAGAACCAGCGGTTGAAACGTTCAAGGACATTTTTGTCGTCGTGGAATGCCAAACCTTGTAGTCAGGAACAACGGCCCACAGTATGGTAGCGCCACTCCCAAATATTTCCTACAGCATCAAGACGTCTCGCACATTCTAACACTACCTTGCCATCCTGAGTCAAACGGATTGGGCGAGAATGTTGTTAAAACGCTGAAGGTTTCCTCCCGAAAATCCAAGACGGGGGAAGGAAAGGAAGTACTGAGACAGTTCATTCAAAAGTACAGGAGGACGCCACGTTTCACAACTACACAGCCCCCCTGCGAGATGCTAAACAAGCGACACTATAGAACGACGTTGGACTTTGACCAAGCCTGACGAGTCCTCCAATGAGTTTCGTGATCGCACTTCTTAAAAGACCAACTACTAGAAGAAAAGTCGTAACCGGGCGTTTCCGATAAGTCAAAGTTTTGATGCAAGATACGACTGGAAAAAAGATGTCATCACCGGTCAAGAGGGCCGGGTCTTGTTTGACATAAAACAGAGAATAACAATCGACACCGGGTACAAGCAGATGAGCTCAAAAAAAAGAATCTGCGACGTAGATTGGAGAGCGACTTATCTCCTAGTCCCGATGATCAACCTTGACATAAGTGATCCAACCACAGCTGTAACCGGTACACCAGACAAAAGTGTCGAACCATCAGTAACTACAGCTGATGCTTCTGCGGTAGCTGGTATCCCCCGAGACTACGCAAGGCGCCGGACCGTTTCACTTTAATCTGAGAAGGGAGGAATTTAGTAGCGTAGCCAGCGTCGCTAGACGACGACGACGAACCAGAGGATGGTCCAGTTGGCGCTCGTGACGTTGATGCGCGATCCTAGTGCACGCAAATAACAGCCATATAAATACAGCTCTTAAACCGCTAATAAACCTACTTATATGTAGTAAACGGTTTTACATGCACTCTGTAACACTTAAGTATAATACAAGTTCAGATAACTTTCTCCTCTGTTTTTATGTAGTGACCTCGAGGGATTGCGTCGCTTTGAAATAGAGTTATAAGACCCAGAGCATCTGTCCGGTGAAGTATTTGTTGTGATATATGTGTGTTAGTCTTTAATTCATGATGGGTTTCAGACAGCAATATTTCCGGCGGCCTGTAATATGGCAGCTAAAAGTGTAAGAATATAAAAAAGGGAGATGAGTGAAAGAATGCAGTGGCTGGGATTCAGACGTCGCCTGCTTTTTGACTTTCCCACCACCTCTTTATATTTATTTTTTGTGCCTTATTTTCGGTTTATGTCATGAAGTGTGCGTAGTAAACCATATGCCAGAAATTTTGCTCCAAGGCAATATTCTTTCGATCTGCACTAACCTCGTGTCACCTTTTTACGAAAAGTGTTTTTCTTTCCGCGTTACGTTATGACATCCAGGGTCTCGACCTGAGTTTCCCGGAATGCCAGACAATTCGTAACAGCTTCCCTTTGCATTTATTCGCTTGCGTTCTAGGAAAGGGTGGTGCATTGTTTAAGATAGGGTCTTGTCTCTAGTAAGTGCGAATACACAGACATATTCTTTTATACAAAGCTGAAGATCCAACTCCTTTTATGTATCGCGTTGATTTGGCTCGTTTAATTGCATCGGGTACAAAGCATATAATATGTGGGCTTGTGAAAAAATCTGTCTCGATAAACGTCCCGAAAACTCACGGTGTCGAGCTTGGCGAAAAGCTGGTCGACCCTCTTTCTTGGATTGTCAGCGCTGGCGTCGGCCTCGCTGGGTCCCGCCTTGCCGTGCAGTACGTAGATGGCCGTCACGATGTCCAGCATCTCGGACCGCGTCACGAAGCCGTCATTGTCCAGATCGTATAGGTTAAAGGCCCCTGCACGCAAATACACAAAAGGGAGCACACACAAGCTATTAGCGGCACACATGCCCGCTGCGCCCAGGTGTTCTCGCTAGGGCTGGGTGTAAGGCGCAAGCAACATCTTACTATTATAGATAAAAAGTAGGCTTTATGCCTCATCAGCCTGCGCTCTTCCGTGTGCATTTTCGTCAGTACAGGCATGCAGGTTCAGATACAGTACATTGTTTAATGCGCAGTATTTCTAAATTACGCCATGAACCTTCAAAATATTATTTTCCTTCGGTTGATTATGATATATTTTCACTCTGCGGTCGGCCTTTCATGCCTAGTAAATATATCTGCAAGTGCCGAAATGAAAATAAATAATTTCTCATCACGATGTTCTCAAAGTTCCTTTATACGTGAATTGAAAATAAAAGTGTTTACAAATATACCACAACTTTGTATGGATGAATTAGCTGGAATTATCACCCAGATTATCAGCGCCTGACTTATTATTTATAAAGTAATTAATAAAACAAATGGAATACGAGTTTTCAATTTATGTTTATTGCACCCTCTGAGATGCCGAGTAAGATGCTCTCCTTTTTACATTTTTTATGAAAATGTTCGACAATAGTTTTATTCCTTTTTTACTATTTTGGGGGGCATGACGTTAAAAACACAAAAAGCACTTCCCTGAATTATTCCATTGTCACGTACAAATGCGCTACCAGAGGGCCGTTCAGTGATGCTCCGACGAGAAAAAAGAAGTTTCCAAAACTGTGTACCCGAAATAGTTCGGGTATACAGACAGGGTAAGATTAAGCATCGTTTTTGGGTTGCCATCATAATTGGCCACTTAATCAGGACTCACATCACTCCCAGAAAAAAGGGTTATTATTACACCCTTTGTCCCATATAATACACCCCAAAACTTCAATTCGACGTACAGCGCCCTTTAATCGGATAGCCTGCCCCAAATTTTACGAGGGGCTTCATAGCTGTGTGGTACAACTTATTATGGCAGCTCATATACGTAATATTGACTACAAAAATGATTATCGCAGTTTTCTTGGCCCTACTGCAAAAACTCCGTGTTTTCTTTCGTTGGTCTTTGCTACGTACTTTAGCAATTTAATAAGTTATAGCGCACCATTATCAAGCCCTTCGTAAAATTTCGGGCCGTCTGTTCAACTATAGGGCGCTGTATGTCGAATTGAAGTTTTGGGATGTATTATATGGGACAAAAGTGTGTACGTTGATACCCTTTTTTTTTTAGAGAAATAAAGGTATGTGTTACTTTCAGCAGAGTATAAAAGTCGTTATAATACACGAACCAGGGCTAGGCAGAGACACTCCAAAAAGTATTCGGGAACACAAATACTGGGATACATGTGTATTAAGGTCCAAATACAAGTACTGAGATACATTTGTCTTTTATGCAACGGCATATCGCTGAAATACTTCTGCAGAAATGGCGCAAAGTATTCAGGAATACAGATACATATATTTGTAGAAATACATTTGTTCCCGAACTTTGCCACGTGGTGAGGGTGTAGTTCGTGGCGAACGCGAATGGTAATTTATGCCTGTGTTTCTCTCTTTGCGCAATTTTATGCCCTACCCCTTACTTCGAACTCTTTATTTATCCTTAACGCCGCTAAAAAAAAAACATGTCACCTCCGTTGAACCACATCGTTAAAGAACGTTGAAGACTGCCTACAGAGCTTGACATGGTACGCAGTCTTTAACGCAGTCTGCCCGAAATTAATCCTGTTTTGCCATGAGGACGCATCTCAGATTGTCGTCTTACATGTTTCTGAGTCATCCATGCTGTGGAAAATTAAACAACACGGCCATACTTTTTCTCCACTCGATTTCTTTACAGCGTTCCCGCTGCTAACTCGAAAAGAGTGAAAGGCTTTGTGAGAGGAGCTGATTTTGTTAATCTTTCCCGTAATCTTTTTTAAACAACAGTTTTTCTTCTATGTTAGTGAATGAGTTAGATCATGTTATAGAGCGGTTTCATATTATAAATTCTGAAGCAAGTTGCATGAAACAAATGTTTCTATCCTTTAAATTTATCGCAAAAACGGCGAAAAATTGTAACGAGATACCTAAGTCAGGCAAAGTATCGTAATATAAGTGATACATCGTAAATGTATCTCACTACTGAGATACAAATACATTTTTCAATTGTATCTCGATACAGAGATACAGATACTCAAAAGTATCTCTAAGATGCTATCGCGATTCATTTGTATCGCGATACTGCCCAGCCTTGACACGAACTAATAGTTCCCACAACTTGTGTAATGCGCCTACCAGTACAGGATTACAAGAGTACCTCTTTTATTTTGGCTCCTAGAAATAGCAGGCGAAACATTGAAAAAATTCGCCGTATCGAAAAAGTATGAAAAAATATGTAGTGCGCCAATCAAATAAAACGAAGAGTTTCTTTCATGTCGTTTACGGTATATATACCTACAAAAAAAAACATTTCAGGTTTATATAAAAATAAACGGGTTCATACCGGTAACAGTTGAACTATACCGGTCATCAGTTTGTCAAAGGGGTCGCCCGTATGGCTCAAAGGGGTCCCCCGTATGAGCCCTAACGGTCACCTATTTGGACAAACAGGTCACTTCTTTGGCAAACGGGTCACTCGTCTGAGCAAATGGGCGATTCGTTTGGGCAAAGTTGTCGCACGTTTGCTCAAACCGGTGGCCATGTTGCACAGACGGGTGACCATTGACCGGCAAACTGTACCGGTTCAATCAAACGGCTCTCCGGGGCCAGTTTGATATTGAACGTACAGATCGGCGGCATGGGCACGCCTAGCGTTTCAGCCGTCGCAGTCAATGTTTCCGGGAGGCTGGGAGCGCCGCTTCATCGATTTCAGATCGTCCGCGTAATGCAAGTAATTATATTTATATTTCAATCGCGCTGATGTTCGCTTATACTGCTACTAAAATTAACACCCTTTTTTTTTACGTAAACGCGCGACGTTGGTGAGCCGATATTTTTGACAGAACTTTAAAACTTTGTCGATCTTCGTTGCCTCAATTTAATTATTCAGCTTATATCTCTCTCGCAAAAGACGCGACCGCGTGAAAGAATGAACAATATACCCCAAACTTAACGCCGCCACTGGGTTCCCGAACATTGAGCTCGTGTCGGCTACTTACTACTAAATTTGTCACCAAAACGTTCGGGATGCCTTCTCAGGATGGGATGGAAATCAGGACTTCAAACTTTCTTAAGATAATTCAATCGGCCGCCGCAGGGTCTGTCAGAAACGGCAAATGCCGTGGCGGCGTTAAGTTTGAGGTGCACTGTACGTCTAGACTCCGTTTCACTTCAATTCAAGACGCAGCGAAGGTAGCACGCGAACACGCGGCTGCAAGAACATCGAGCATCGCGAGAACACGCCCGCCGTTGCAGCAGTTAAACTACGAGCTCGCGCTGAGCTCTTTCTTCGTTCGACGCAAGCCGAGCTTCTTCTGGCCGCCCCGCCGCCATTTGCAACGTTCGAGCGTACTGGCGCGCGCGCGCGCGCCTGCGCGTTTGCTTTCCGAGGCTACAGAAACACGTCTCACTGGAATGCCTGGGGAGAGGGAGGGGGGCTGTCCCGGTGTCCTGCGCCTTGACCTCGCCCCCTCCCTCCTCTCTTGTCACATCTATCACGTGACCCGCAGCAGCGCGAGCTTCACGATGATAAGCATCAAGATCCGGAAGGGTGCGCCTGGCAGCCGCTATTTTCTTTGTCTGGTTGTTGTCAGTTGCAGCTCGTCCCACCTGCTTCAATATGTCGCCTAACCCTGCGGTTTTATTAGGATGTCTCTTGACAACGTATTGAACGTGCACCAAAGCCATCAGTGTTCGAAAAGTCCTACGCGTATATCGGCAACACGCGATTCTTCAAAGAAGTACTGTAAAACCCTTTATTTTTGCGGCCCCCCATTTTTCGCGATTCGGTCACAGATGACATAATCGCGACCACTAAATTTCGCGAAGTCCAGACGCCTGCATTGAAAATCTTAAGGACCGAAATTTTCGCGCGCCCTTAAATTTCGCGAATTCTTTAATTCGTGAAATTCGCGAAAATTGAGGGCTCGAGAACGAGAACATTAAGGGTTTTACAGTAAGTCTTGCGGTTTGGTTGGGTTCGGCAAGTGACAGCTTGTGCGCCGCATCGTGTTGAAACTTCAAAGGAGCCGTTCCCTCTCGTTTGTGTTTGTGTGGCTGTCCTGCTTTGACCGTGTCCACAAAGATCACAGATTACATGTGTCAAGTCCGCTATTTTTATGGTAAGTGCACTGCAACCTACTTCTTGGCAACGATTGAACGTTCTTTTACGCGTACTCTTCCAGATTATCTATATAATTATGCAGCGTCTATTGGCGCGGCAGCCGGGTGAATGATTTCACAGAAAGTCTACTTTCATAGTCTAGAATTACCTCGGTTGCTGTTTGCTTTGCTATCTTCTTAGTTTTATAAAAACTTAGAGTTCCTCTCACATTTAACAGATCCCTTGCACATCTGTACTTGTCTACAGAAGAGGTAATAAACTTCAAAGAGAATTGAAAACAATCTTTTGTGTCTGTTTTCCTGTCCAGTTGCAAGCACCTACGTGAGTTCATTTGTTCTACGTGTTTCCTCCATGTTATAAATAGGTTTATGAGTTTCGAAACGTCCTATTTAAGTTTAAGATAACCAACCTACCCGACGATACCCATTTAGGGCTAGCGCATAATTTCCCAATTCGAATGGCACGTTCAAACGTGTGGTCACGGGCAAGGTCAAACGGGCATCTTAATCAAACGGCTACCGTTTCAAACGGGTCGGCAAGCTTGCCACCTGTTTGATTCAAACGGGTCAACCAGTTTGCCAACTGTTTGATTCAAACGGGTCGACCAGTTTGCCACCCGTTTAAATTTCAAATGTTTTTTTTTTTTTTTTTCAGTAGGGATATTTTTGCGACGTGAAAACTTTCTAACATTTTACCCCTAAGACAACGAGTCGCAAATTTCCGAAGATATCTTCAGAAGAAGATACCTTAGTGCAAGACGTGTATTAGGTTGGGATTTTTTTAAACTGCTGCATAAATGTCAGTTGATTTAAATTCGGATCATACTGTCACTAAAGACAAAGTGACGAAGCAACGAATAACTAAAGAAACTGACACGTTTAATGAGGTAAACTTGTGCCAAATCAAAATTGAAACAGAAGAGAACAATAGAGCGTCGTGGGCGTCGAAATTGGCGTAACAACAGAATCAAACGCTGGGGCGAGACTGACTCCGGCTTGCCGCTTGGAGTACCTTTTGTAGCCGCGTGGGTTTCTGGAACGTTCGGCGCGTATAACATTCGTAACTCAATCAGACGAGAATGTTCTCGAATTTGCGCGAGCGCCAAGTAGAAATAAAAATAAAAAAATAAAACCTTCCACTCCCTGGTTTCGAACCCAGCTCCTCCGCGCGACAGCCAAGCACGGTAACCCATTCGGCCACATACGCGCTCTCACAGCGACGCGCGTGGCAGTATCATCAACAAAGGCTGTTAGATTAGTTCAGTGCACTTTGGCATAGCGAGTATGGATTCGCTTACTTACCACCAAGAAAAACATTTGAAGACTTTAATCTTTACAAGAGCTGCCTCTTATAACATCGTTTCTACAAATAAAGCATTAACATAACCATTAGCCCAGTTTCAAAAAGTAGATTTTTGTATGATAATGGTGAGGCAAGCAGCCCCAAAATACTGACCCTCTTTTGTTAACTAACACTATTCTATCCGCGATCAGGTTAGTTTATGTAAAGTAGGTAACCTCCCTTTACTCACCGTTATACATAAGATGCTACAAAACGCTACTCACAGTTAAGTTTTTCGTCGATGTTTCCTTTCGTCGTTATTGAAATGGCTCGGATGAATTCCTTGAACGTGATCACCCCATTCTGAAAAAAAGGAAAGGTGTGGCGGTCGGTACCAAAGAACAGTCAGATGCGCGCGCTCACCGCTATGCACAGAAGAAAACCGGACAAATCTTATGTTTGTACTCACAATTCAGAACTTAGTTCAAGACTGTGGTTACTTTCTTTCTACAAAA